TTTTTTAGATTTCGAAGTTGTTCATATAAGAAAGTTAATTCGATAATTTGTATTGAGAGGCATCTATTAACCATTCATCTTATTGCAAAGTTTGTTGAGAGGCATATATTTACGCTTCATCTTACTCCCAAAGTGTATATCATGGTCATGTATCACTTTGGTGATGTGATGTCCTCTGTTTACATTGCTAACAAATTAGTGACGATGTGATTTCTCCTATTCTAGCTTAGGGATCTTTTTCTACTCTTTCCATATGAGTGCAGAGTTTCCTGGCATTTGGTATAGCAATAAACTAATGTACCCTTCTGTTCAAAGGCCTTTTCTTCTCTCGCTGATCAGTCAAAAGATAAAAACATGTATATACTATTGGTAGATGTTTTCCTAGTCTTATTGCAGTGAAGTATTACATGAACAAATGTCTTCTATAATGTTTTTCAGTTTCTCATAGTTATGAGCTCTTAGATACAGGTTTATGATTTTAGGTTCAGAGTTCACCTTCTGTTTGTGCTCCAATTTCAATAATGGTTCAAGATAATGTTTCTGATGCACTTACTTTACTTACTTTCAAGTTAAAGGAATAGGACATCACCATAATTAAAATTAGATTAATAGATGGTTCATAAGCATTTAGTGGATCCATTCGTTATGATAAACCATGAGATCAACATGAAAGAGATGTATGTGATTATACCACATCATCATACTACTTTGATCTGACATTTTTTCCTTGATCACATAACAGACAAACCCTTTTGATTTATTTGAGACTTTTTTCGGACCTAGTATGGGTTTCCCTGGAATGGATGCAACTGGTTTTGGAACACGTCAGCGAAGTACTGTCACTAAAGGTGAAGATTTACGGTAAGATGATGAATTACTGCAGTTAATTTTATGGAACTCCTGGCAGGCTAATATTTTTTTATGGCCCTATGGTGTAAAGTTTCCACCTTTTTTCTGCATGATGGTTCTTTGAAGTATGTTAATTTAGCGTTGTCTTCAATTGATTTTGACTGATAAAAGGATACGTGTTCCATATGCCAAGTTTTATGTCTATTCTGCTTCTCTGCCTTCCATCTGTCTGCTGTTTAGTATATCTTTCATGAGGTGCTATATGTTAAGCATTCCTTAATTGAGTCGACTCATGGACATGGTGAATTTCAGTTATGACATAAGACTCGAGTTCTCAGCTGCTATATTTGGAGCAGAAAAAGAGTTTGAGCTTTCTCACCTTGAGACATGCGAAGCTTGTGCTGGTACTGGAGCAAAGACAGGCTCTAAAATGAGGATATGCTCAACATGTGGTGGCCGTGGTCAGGTTATGAGAACTGAACAAACACCTTTTGGAATGTTTTCGCAGGTATTTCAATACTTTTTCTTCCCGACGAATGGAATGTATACCGGTTGCTCTGTATATAAACACAATGCATGCCTGTTATCTAAATGTTTTCTTGTCTATCTATATGCATTCAAGTATAGTGAAATAACTAGTGGTGTATGCTTTGTCAATAGAACTATGAAGTTTCTACTTATTATATTAATCAGATATACTAAGGATCATTTTCTTCAGTTTCAGTCCATACTCTAGGATTAAGTAACATCTTTGCAGTCATGTCATGGTGCCGTTAAAAGAAGCTCATTATTGAGAATGCGGAGGTGGAAAAAAATTGCCTTTTCATCATGTTTGATGAATTTTAGTGTTGAATGTGCGCTTTAAACCTAAATCTGCCAGTTCTTTTCTAATAACTCCATCGCCTGTAGTAATTTCAATTTTCTCAAGTTCATTGTTTTCATTTTTGAAGTTCATTTTACCCTGTCCTTATGCTGGCACTAAGAACAAAATTTGCTGAACGATATGTGGATAAATGAAAAGTTCAAAAGGAACTGACTAAATCTCAATGTCAACCATGCAAGGGCATTGTTGTTGGAAGTCAATAATACTGATTGGAGCACCTGAAGTAAAGAAAGGAGATGTGTCTCAGATAATTATCCAAGGAGAGACTAATGATCAATCTGCTTAAATGACATACACTCTGGAAACTGGAAGTTTCAAGTACAAAAGAATGAAAATATATGGTTCATATTTTGGAGGTTTATGTGGGGTTTGGCAATAATGATGTATAATTTTTTGGGGTTGAGCAATAATAGAAATCATATATATGCATTTGCCTTTTATTTGCAGTTATCATCTACCTTTGCGCAACTTGTCTTCAAATTCCTCTGTTGATACTCTGGCTTTATTATCCCCCTTATGGCAGTTAGTAACTCTACTTTATCATTACAACCGTACAGGTTTCAATATGTCCAAATTGTGGCGGCAATGGTGAAATGATCTCTGAGTACTGTCGTAAATGTTCTGGTCAGGGGCGGATTCGAGTGAAGAAAGATATCAAAGTCAAAATTCCTCCTGGAGTCGGCAAGGGCAGTATTCTCAGAGTTGCTGGAGAGGGTGATGCTGGACCAAAGGGGTATGATTGATGAATTATAGTTTATGTTATTGTGCACCTGTAGTTTGTACTGGCTATACCTCATGAGAAAGTTTTTTTATGCGATTCCTTTTGTTTTAGATTTTGATGACACTGTTATTTTAACATCTAAAATTAGGGTAGTCACCATTACGTATCAAGCTGGTTTCTTTAGATGCATTGTGAAGGTCAACTGCAGAACATTTTAAGATTATAGCCCTTTACACATTCTAGTTAATGCTTCAAAAGATATAACAAAAGGATGATGCAGAGTGAGATGATGTCTTGGATGTGCTTGTCTCTGACTGTTGAATCCTCCCCTTTAATTTTCTGCAGAGGACCACCTGGAGATCTTTATGTATATCTTGATATTGAAGAGATACCAGAGATTCAACGAGATGGCATAAATCTCTCTTCTACTGTTTCAATTAGTTATTTGGATGCTATATTAGGAACAGTTACCAAGGTACACCTACTCTTGATGATTATTAAGTGTACCATATAGATTTAATCATGCCCATGGACAGGGTGTTTAGTATACATCCGCTGTGGTGACTGCTAGTTTTGCTTAAACATCAGCATGTCTCTTTTGAAAAATTTTATTTGTGGCTAAAAATGATAACAATCAGTCTGGTCCTTGTATTGTTATAGGTTAAAACGGTTGAAGGGCTTACTGATCTCCAAATTCCTCCTGGCACTCAGCCTGGGGGTGTTCTTGTCTTGGCAAGAAAAGGTGCACCTAAATTGAACAGGCCATCAATACGCGGTGATCACTTGTTCACCGTTAAAGTTAGTATACCAAAAAAGATAAGGTATCCTTTGACGCTTAACTCATGATTACTAACTTTTTATGTCTCTGGTACTGTCTTAGATGGTCTTGTGAGAATGTTGTACTTTCATGCTCACAAAAAAGCTTTTTCAGGAATGCATACTAGCCTAGCTAGACTTTTTTCTAATTAAAAAAAACAATGGCCTCATTACGTCTTTATTCTGCTGTCATAATGGTTCATTTTATTGTTTAATGTTCTTTGGTTGTACAGTTCACAAGAACGTGAATTGCTTGAAGAACTTGCTTCTCTAAGTAGTAAACCTGGCAAACGTTCAAAAACTCGCCCTAACGTTCAGCAAACCAGTAAGTATTGATTATAATCTATTGGACAGAAGACGAAGCTTCTCTTAGGCCGTTATTCTGTGGGCCTTTCATTCCTTTTATTCAGCTGATGAACAACCCATGATGTTCCTGGCTGCTGAGTTTACAGTGTTATTACCATTTGTACCTATTCATGCTAAATGCACTTTAGCTGCCATCGTTTTAGATGATTCTAACAACAGATAATATTGCTATACCTTACAGCTAAAACTGTACAAAGCGAAACAGATTCTGCTACGAATAATAGTGAGGAATCCGAAGAACAGAACGACTTGTGGAAGAAGTTTACAGATTTTGCTGGGTAAATTCCTTCCCTGTACTTTGTAAAATTATGTCGTAGATACTAATTTTTCAGAATTTGGCCCACATTGTTATGCTTTCAGCAAGTGGTTAGTACCGTTGAGAGACGGTTCTTGTAAGACCTTTCAATTCTTCCCTGCCATTCTGGGTTTGTCGTGTTCTCTTTTACATTGTTAACTAGCTGGCTTGTTTTATGTAGTTACCAGCATATTAAGGTAGCCAAATGACCAACATGGTTGATAGCTGGGGAATAGGACAAACCCATTCTAATCAGTTAATTTCCAGACTTCTTAATCCAATTTCTCTAGTTTATGAAGTTATCTTGTCAAGAATATTTCCTCAGAATCTTGTTCAGTTCAATAAATTGTCAGTAAGTGTCTGCTATAACTGAATTTGCTGTTATCATGAGTTGTGGAAATAAACATGCTTTCTCGTGATCTTTTATGCTGCTGAGTCATTTTAACTTGTTCAATAATTGAATGTTGAAGTCTTCGAATGCTATTGCCTTGTTAACTATGCCTTGAACGCCACATATCTTGAAATGTTATCTTGACTTGTGCATGATTCTGTGGTTGCAGGTCTGTTGCAAATGGAGCACTAAAATGGTTGAAAGACAACCTATAGTCATCCTTGTGGTCAGGAGAGTCCCATTAGGTGCCTGCTTTTTCTTGCAACGCATATCCTATGCTTTGGGCGCCTCGCTTAACAAGCAAAGATGGACGGTGCGGCATTGTTTGCTTCGAACTGAATCTTTCTCAAGCTCTGTTGAAGAAACTGAGGAAAACCCTAGTTGCCATTCTTTTATTTTTTTTTTTGGGTGAACCCTGTAAATCTACATTGCTTGCAATTACACTTAGTTCGAGACTATTAGAGCTGGATTCAGCTGAGAGGAACTGCTTCTCATTGTGATCAATTCATATGTAGAATTGTGCATATTGAACAGCAGCTACATTCTCTGCCTGGCCGGAAAGCGTATTGTTACATCGTTACAACAAATAAAATTTGACTAATTCAACATATCACGGTCAAGTAAACCTGAAGGACGTGGCATCCACGTTGAATTCTTACTGCATGTAAAAAGACAGAAATTTTGCAGTAAAGTTTAAATCAGCGGTTTATTTCTAAAGAACACATTTAACCAATATATTCCTCCTCTCTAAGTTCCTCTCGATGGAGAAACGAGTAGCAAGAAAAACATTTCATATCTACGGCAAAAGACGTCAGTCAGACGCTTCACTGTGAACGACTTTGCCTGATCAAAAGCAAGACTGCGGCAATGACAGGGAAAGAAATTAGGGCAAGAGCCTCAATAATGTTGGGTCTTGTTATCTCTGGAAAAACAACACTTCCATACTTTATTGCAGCCGCACCCGCCACAGAACCACCTCCCAGCTTAACCAAGTAGTTCAAATCTTCCTAACTCAAAATAGAACACAAAGGGGTTAGCTTTAAACCAAAGGTGCTGTAGAGGTTTGAGTTGGGCATGAAGATGTGGGGTGGGGTGGAGTGGACTAACCTGGGACAAGAATGCAATGTCATCAGGGTTATCTTTGTCGGAATTTGCTTCTTCCCTTTCAGACTCTAAAGCTCGAACCAGACCGGCGCTGGTCTTGGAAATTTTGGTAGAGCATGTATTTGGGTTGGCAAAGGCAATTCTGATAGCATTTGGAGGTGGGTTTTTGGAAGCCGGGGAGCAACTCTTTAGAACTAGTGGAGCGGCTGCAGAAGCCACGGCTGCCATATCCGTCAACTCGACGTACCAACAGGCAACAGAAAAAGCAGTTATGTGGACAGGAATTAACTGTGATGTGATTCCGGCTTGGCCTGAGAGCCTAACGTGGAAATTTGCTTTCCCCTTGGCTAATAGCGATCCAACGTTTACCAACATTTCTTCCTGCCAAAAAAAAAAAAAAAAAAGTGTGGATAAAAATAGAGTTATGTTCAATTGCCTCCCCGTATTGTACTTAGTACATTTGTTTTATGCCATATGTACCAAACAATCTCCTATTTAAGCATACGCATTTCTTTTGACAGTTAAGTGAAATGATATTTTTTTTGACAAAAAAAAAAAGAAATGATATTTTGAAAAAAAAAAAGTTAGGCACTGATTAAAGTTGAAATCTCAAAATTTAGAGTTTGAGTTCAAATCTTTTTTCCTCTTCCTCTCTTCTTAATCACACCCTTCCTTTCAATGCTGGGTAAAAATAAAAAATAAAAAATAAAAAATCCAGGATTTTTTCTTTTAATCAGGCTATGTACCCATCACCAGATATTGGGGGCCCAATATGTAATCCTCCCTAGGGCCTAACTCACAGGATTTTTTCTTTTAATCAGGCTATGTACCCATCACCAGAAATTGGGGGCCCAATATGTAATCCTCCCTAGGGCCTAACTCACAGGCCCAGTCCATCACTTTTATCCCGTTTCAGTTTTTCCGCTCCAAAGTCTCCAACGTTTCATTACTTTCTTCTTCTCTTCACCGGCGGTGGTGAAACCTTTTATTGCTGATCCCCAACCCTAAATAATACCAGATTGTTCTGTAGTTCTCCGTCTATCTGGGATTGAATTCTCCCAATAAACAATCCTTGTTTCTACTTCCTTAATAAAGTCAATCAATTTTGCTAGTGTTTTTATCAAATTAGCCTTTTCTTCTTTTTTTGGGGGGAAACCTGAAACAAAGCAGTAAAGATGGTGTTAGCGCAATTAGGATCGAGCATCTCGCGTGCTCTTCAGCAGATGAGCAATGCGACAATCATCGATGAAAAAGTTCTTAACGAATGCCTCAACGAGATCACCAGGGCTTTGCTTCAAGCCGATGTTCAATTCAAACTTGTCCGAGATATGCAGACTAATATTAAAAAGATCGTCAATCTGGATGACCTCGCTGCTGGTCACAATAAGCGTAGGATTATCCAGCAGGTATATTTCATTTCTAGTCCGTGATTATTAATTTGGTTTTGTCTCTATAGTTTTGGTGTTGTAATTGTGGCCTTTTCTCTATTTTTTATATGATTTTTTTTTAGTTTGGGATAAAATTGTTAATGAAAGGAGGAGAATCGTAGGAGTGAGCAAAAAGAAATTAGTTGATTACTGAATTGAATGAATGCTTCAATTTAGTCAGAAGAAAAGAAGGGAATTTATTTTGCAATGATTTGGGTCCAAGAACTGAATTTTGAGGGTGCTGGTTTGAAATTGGACTCAATCATTCGTTAAGGGGTGAAAAATAGGAAAACAGAAGAGGACAAATTTCGGTTGAGGTCAGGTTGAGTGTATATTTGCGAAGGGTGGTGACTGCGGAATTGGTTTAGGTGGGTGACAGTCGGATGAGGTTTTATTGCTTGGAAAAGCAGTGTCTTTGTTGTTTTTGGTGTTGGTTATAGAGCATAATATTTGATTGTGGATCGTAGAGAAGCAGTTTAAGCTACGGGTGGACCTTTTGCCAGGTGAAATTGAAGAGCTATTGTCTTGTGGACTTGGGACTGTTTCTGATTTGATTTTGTATGAAACTGACAAATTTGTACAATGATATTAAAATATTTTGTAATAGATATGATGCTTTCGATGTGTCATTCTTGCTGCTATCAAACAAGGCTTCAAGGGTTAACTTGGAAATTTACATCCCTCCATTTACATCTTTTAACGGCATGCAGGCTGAACAATAATGAATATACAAATGGAATGGAATTCGAGTGGAAGTATTTGTTTTCTCAATATAAGATCAAGAGCAGATGTATTGTGCTCTGTATAAAAATTCATTATGAGATCTTTCCATTACTTCAATTTTTTTCTTCTTGGATTCCATTAGTTTTTTGAATCGTTTCTATTACATTCTAGAACTTTTTGGGGGTCAAAAGTGAAAGCATCTTGTATGGAGGGATTAAATTTGCTAATCTAGGATGGGATTCTGCATGCCATTCATATGAAATTATGCAATTACTTTGTAGAGTTGCTTGGAAAAGGACTGCTTTGTAAGATTGGTTCCTTATATTTCGAGTTGTCTACCAAGTTTTGATGACTTTTACAAGATGCATTGACTTGATATTTTCTTTTTCTTCTGGGTTAACATTGTCTGACAACAGTCCCTCTGCATTCAGCCTTTGTCTCTTTCTTTTTCTTTCTTACCATCTTCTGATTTTTTAGGATGGTTTTCTTGTTTGTAGGCGATATTTAATGAGCTCTGCAAGATGCTGGATCCCGGAAAACCTTCATTCACCCCTAAGAAAGGCAAAACGAGTATCGTAATGTTTGTAGGATTGCAAGGTACTTGAATGTTTTGACTGATGCCTTCTGAGTTCTGTCTTACTTAACTAACTTGAAACATTTTTTATCAGCTGTTGGATCTATCCTAATATCATGTGGTTGATTGGCTCCAGTGAAATTCTTTATCGTGCTAACTTTCTTCGTCTAGATCTCTCAAATTGTTGTCATTGCAGAAGGTTCTTTTGCTTGTGCTCTTCTTTGATGAGATACATATGATCATTTCATGAATAATTCACAGGGTCGGGCAAAACTACTACATGTACAAAATACGCGTACTACCACCAGAAGAAGGGCTGGAAACCTGCTTTGGTATGTGCTGATACATTTAGGGCTGGTGCTTTTGATCAGTTGAAGCAAAATGCAACAAAAGCTAAAATCCCCTTTTATGGAAGGTACCTTTTCCACTAAAGTATCAAACTTTGTGTCTTTTCATTGATTTAGGGCCTTCATACAGTTGTAATGTTAGATTGTGATGAGCTTACATAATCCTTCCATTTCCATGGCACAATTCTTGCCAAGATTTCTACGAAATGTCATTAAGTTGCTATTAATTACCAGATATATGGTTTAGATAAATGAAATTATGTATCATTTGCTCACTTGAAACTTTTGTGGTTTTGTTGCTCTTTCTAACTAGTTAGTGGAAGACAATTGATGAAGAGGGCTCTCATTACCTTTTTAGTAGCTCATATCTTCTGATTGTTAGTTTTTTTTTATTATTCATTTTTTTTAATCCATACATGTTGTGACATTGCTTTAGTTGAGATTGAAGTTTGAGCATTGTTCAATTTTTTTAATGCATCAATTCTTTAAAGGAATAATCTAATTGAATGCTCAAATTGAGTACTTTGGCAATTGATGTTTAGGGTTAGATCTTGCTCTTTCTTTGCTTTTCACTTTTTTTTTGCTCTTTCACTGCTTATGCTAGGAGTTCATTGTGCATGTGTTGATTTTATAACAGCTACATGGAGTCAGATCCGGTTAAAATAGCAGTTGAAGGTGTTGAAAGATTCAAGAAGGAAAACTGTGATCTTATAATTATTGACACCAGTGGACGCCACAAACAGGAAGCAGCCCTTTTTGAAGAGATGCGTCAAGTTTCCGAAGCAACTGTGTGTTTTTCTACTCTCCATTGTTTATATGTTTTTGAAGATCCAAATTTCTCCTTCCTGAAGGTTTCAGGAACTGGAACTTGCTTAATTTCTATATCTGATGGTTTCAGAATCCAGATCTTGTTATATTTGTCATGGATAGCAGTATCGGTCAGGCAGCTTTTGATCAAGCCCAAGCATTCAAGCAAAGTGTTGCAGTTGGAGCTGTTATTGTTACTAAAATGGATGGTCATGCAAAGGGAGGTGGTGCTCTTAGTGCGTAAGTGCAGACTTCATACGTTTTCCTTGGATACGGACTTATCTGTTGGTCATTTGAGACATTTATAATTTTCTCATTTGCTGGAAAACTAGTTCTGTGAAGTTAGCTGGGTCATCCTTTTTATACTAAGACTACGTAGATGATGATATTTAGTGGGCTAACAAAACTAGAATCTGCAGAAACCTAAACAAAGCTCATTGTTACTCTCAAGGAAGAAAAGATGACATATTTAATGACAATAAATAAATAAATAAAAGTATTGCTTGATTTGTCTAATTTTAGAATGCACCTAGACGCTCCTCATTGAGATGCTGGTAGTACAGTTTCATGGAGTAATGAAGTGATGACTTTTCTACTTTCCATGTGCAGGGTTGCAGCTACTAAAAGTCCTGTCATATTTATTGGGACTGGTGAACATATGGATGAATTTGAAGTTTTTGATGTAAAACCATTCGTAAGCCGTCTTTTAGGTTTGTAATTCTGTTCCTGTAGTCTGATATACTTGTCTTTGCCTTTGCAATGTTTCTGTTGAACTATCTCTCGGCTACCCTGTTATGGCTCACAATTGATGTTCATAATTTTAATTGCTCTAGGCATGGGTGACTGGTCTGGCTTCATGGACAAAATTCATGAAGTTGTCCCAATGGATCAACAGCCTGAGCTGCTTCAAAAGCTTTCTGAAGGAAATTTCACATTGAGGATTATGTACGAGCAATTCCAGAACATACTGAAAATGGGACCAATTGGACAGGTTTATTTCTTCTTGTTTCACCATATGTATCTGGAGTTATTTGGATGAGTTTCAGAAGTAAGAATAGCCTTTCAATTTGAGAGAATCAGTGGTTAAACCATTTCACTTTGGACGTGGAAGCATGCAGAAGCAGTGAGAGTTTCAGTCAACACTTTTGAAGGCCAGTTTTTGTTCAAGAATGACAACATAACCTTCTAAAGCAATCCTATTGAAATGCTTAGAAATTGTTCTTTTTGGACTTTTTTTGCTATTTCCATTTACGCATATTCAGATACAGCTGGCTCTTTTGATGTTTATTCCCTCTAGGATGGATTAGAATGGTATTGAATGAAAACTTGGAATCACGGCCTATTGGCTTACATTATCATCCACAAAATTCCTTCCACCCTGCCTACAGACAGGAACAAAAAGAGCAAGAAGCTACTTTTGTAAATAATTTCTGTTCTTCAGTTGACCTTTTCTGAAAGTGGCTCTTATGACTTGCTTGATTCTTGTAGGTATTCTCAATGCTCCCAGGATTTAGTGCAGAGTTGATGCCAAAAGGTCATGAAAAAGAAAGCCAGGCAAAGATCAAACGCTACATGACAATGATGGATTCAATGACGAACGAAGGTATGTTTATTATGTTAGGTTGGAAATTGGAATTAGTCTGCCCTTGAATACATATTTCTATGAAGAATTTCATGCAAGTTTGTTTCACCATGGTCTTTTTTTTTTTTCCCGTTGTTTACTGCAGAGTTGGATAGTTCCAATCCCAAGTTAATCAATGAATCACGGATAATGCGGATAGCAAGGGGGTCTGGTCGTCAAGTAAGAGAAGTGATGGAAATGTTCGAAGAGTACAAGCGCCTTGCCAAGATCTGGAGCAAGATGAAAGGACTCAAAATCCCAAAGAAGGGAGAAATGAGTGCCTTATCTCGAAATATGAACGCTCAGCACATGAGCAAAGTTCTCCCACCTCAGATGCTGAAGCAGATTGGTGGGATGGGAGGTCTGCAAAACTTGATGAAGCAAATGGGCTCGATGGGCTCTGCTAAAGAGATGATGGGGATGTTTGGAGGTGGAGATAAGTAGTTCCTTTGCATCTTGGACAAATGGGTGACTGATCTGTCTTCACATGCTAAGTGGTTTTAGTTGAGAGGACGGCCATTGTGACTCTGAAGCACCTGGTCGTCTCTTGTTACTCTCTGCGCATCAGTTTTTGATAATCACGCAAGGGTGATGGAGTAATTGAATTTTTAATGACGGAAGGATCTCCCTGTTTTATACCTCTGTAGCAACTGGGTTTTCAGTTTTGTATGTATTTAGTGGAAAGCTTTTTTTTTTGGCCCCATGGAATAGGTTTAGATTATTTTGGTCTGATACCTCTTTAAAGTTAAGATGTGTCTCAACTTTTCTTTTTCAATTACTAACATGTAGAACATTCAATGAAGTAGGGATGCCTGCATGCGGTCTCTTCAGTTAACAGAAGCAGGAAGCAGTGTTGAATTTTTAGGGCTTCATTGAGTCATCAGTTGGGTAATTAAGCTCATCAGTTGCGCCATTTCACCTGCAGAAAGAAATGAGCTACGCGTTCCCGAGTTTTTCAACCGTTCTTTTTACCTACCAAAGTTCGTCAATCAAGGCTCAAAAGCAATCTACAAACATCTAATGTTTCATAAGCAACACGAAGCTATGTTCCTAACCATTTGAATTCCCCATTTCAGCAAGTATTCAGACTATGAGCTGCCATATTAGTCCATATGATTCATCTGGAACTGCAATTTGTAATTACAAGATAGTAGCATTGTTCACTTATTTATTCATGACTAATATGCTACACAGCTCAGGAAAGCAGTATATCACATCCAGGAAACGCTCGGAGACGTCTTCAGCGTCTGATATATGCATGGTATTGATGGCCCGGACTATACATTAATCAAATCACCGTTCTAAAAATTTTGAAAGAACGCTCTCTCTAGAGGAGGTTTCTTCAGCATCTTTCTCAGATTTATCAGGAGATTTATCAAGAGCATAGCGAAGAATAGAGTTAATTTGGGTTCGTAAACTAGCATTGTCGATGAACACATCTGTCAGCATCTTCCTCAATTCATCATCCCGTGTTCTTGTAGCTCGGCCAGCTGTACTGGAACTTGCAGAAGTGACGATATTCTCAACGTCTTCTGCAAGGAGCTGTGCCTGTTTGATTCAGGAAGACAAGCTAAGATTACAAAAGCTATCATCCTCCTTAACTGACCAATATGTCGCTCAAAAACATTTAAAGCTTCTCGTCCAACAAACCAAAAGTACAAAATCCAGCTAAATTTCCAGATTAATAAGATAGACTGACTTTGCACCCTCTCTCTCTCCATTAAACTTCTATTTATGAATTCAAAAACCCTTTAAAATGATTAAGGAGAAAGCAAACTAGGTATTAGCACCATATTTTTCACAAGCACGCAGGTGGTTTTTATGTTTAGAATCTTAACCATGTATACAATCTCTTCAAAACCACCAAGCATGCAGCTGTATAAGATTCAGACGTCTTCATTTGCTATTTTAGCACCTCGGAATCGTTCTGTTATTGTGCCTCACCAAAATAATCTAAAGCATGCCTGAATGAAACGTGAATATGGAGCCATCCCTCTGTGTGTTACATTGTCTTATAATAGTTAGCTAAGTCGCCTACTTGACACCTATATTACCAACATGAAAGATCGATTAAATCATGACTGCTGAGACTTTGCTCACAACTGACTCCAATATACCATAAAACCAACCTAAAGGTGTAGGACATACCTCCGCAAGCAGAAGACCTATTCGATTATCGGATGTACCCAATATATCAATTGCTTCAGAAGGAGATGAAGTGTCCATGGAGAGTTTAATTTCTTCTTCAATTAGGAAATTAACACTGCACTCTTCAAGTCGACTGCGGAGAACTTCACACTCATGCAGCAGCTTCGCATTAGCAGCATTAGAGTGTTCCCTTCTTTGCCTTTCCTCCTGAAGAATCCTCTGAAACAGTAATCATGAGCCTTTTTATTATCCATGGGATACCAGATACATTAACAAACATCAGAAAATCACATGAAGATAAAAGGATTAAAGGAAATGGATGCTTATATATGAACCACACAACACAGCTCATCTATCCTAAATGGGCCATGTCTATGTTGATACATGAAATTTCCTATACCCTTTCATTTAAAAAGGAACTTATGTTTTTTTCCATCAAATCCTTCCAAATTCTACATCAAATGTATGGACAACAAAATTGAAATCCTTGATACTTGTTGAGCCCAAATGCACAAAAAAAGTATGATCCATAATACTACCTCTGCTTCAATCTTTTCATTTGCCAACCTAACAAGATCCTGCTTCAACTCTAACTGAGAATTTCGAAGAGACTTGACTTCCTTAGCAAGGATCTTTAGGTCCAATTTGGATTTCGTTTCTGATTCTTCATGATGTTTTAGGAGATTCTCAACCTGCTCCTTGGCAACATCCAATTCCTGCCGCAACCTATCATTGTCAAGGACAATGGAGTTTTTGGTTGTTTCAAGAAGACCCTTCTCCTCCTGAACATTTATGGTCAAGTCATGTACTGCTAAAAACATTAAGATCTCAAAGTTTTGACAGGAGAGACAAAGAACCTACACCTGTTCACTTTTCAACTTCAACTCCATCTCTATACACTTTCTCCTAAGTTCCTCCATATCCCATTGCACTTGAGTAACTCTTTCTCTTTCATTTATGATTGCCTGCTGCAAGCTTTCTTCTCCAGTCTGCTTCATGGTTTCAAGTTCAGTTTCTAAATCCTTCACCTGGAAATACAAAGCAAGCACTGTTTTCAACAGGACAAATTTCTGAACCCATCAGAAATTATAACTCCAAGAACTCATAGTGAGACATCATTTTCAGACAGAATATATGTAGTTGTCAGGCTAACACGGTGGACCAAAATGAATAATAAGTTAATGAAAGAGAATTCAACAGCAAAATGAAGCATTTCTTGAAAAGCGTCATAGTTATTCCATGAGCTTAAAAAAATTAATTTCCAACTTCACAAGTGTTAATTATTAAAAAAAAAAAAAAAAAACAAAGACAGCAAAAGAAAAGGAAAAAACCAAACCAAGTAAACATAATCAGCGAAAAGTTCAAGTAACGCTAGGACTGCTCGGATATATTTGAGCTATGGACTATTTGGTCCCGGACCCTTCCCCCCCCCCCCCCCGCGTGGCGGGGAAAAAAATATCCAAGCTAGCAAATACTGTCAAAGAGTCTACGCAAGCTGGGATGAACTGCAATATGTATAACAAAACAACTATGGCTAAGTGTCCAATAACCTGAAAGGGTCTCCAAGACATTTCTCCTCTAAATCACCCACAAGGGAGGTCGCTTTGTTTTTACCCTTGCCTCTTAGCTCACTTAAATCATTTTCCTCCACTGACAAACTTCAACAAACTTATCCATAACATTTTAATTTAAAATCCAGCAAGAATAAAAAAGAAATCTACAATACTCTGGCAGGAAATAAGTGAAAAGTAATTACATCTCAAGTCATGGAAGATTCCTAGAAGCAACAAGGAGAAGTTACATCTTATTTCCTAAAGGATTCCTATATCAAAATTGATTGGGATTTAATCTTCAACATATTTGCATACTATTGCTTTTCGGTCCGTGTATGAAAAAGTTAAGTTGGAAAATACCTTTGTTGAAAGATATTGTCTGACAGCAAGCTCTTGACTTAATCTTGCAGTGAGATCTTCTACATCTGTCCTTGCTATATTTAGCCTTTGTTTTAAAGTATTGAGAATTCTGTTCATCTTATTCTGTTCTTCAGTTGGAAGAACAATTGATACATCATGTCCTGAGCTTGTGAGCAAAACATCAATTTGTGCAGCACCAGAACCATCAGGACGTTCAAGCACTACAGAACTTGCGTCACTTTCAATACTATCTCCCGATAGTGTCCTAGCATTGCTCAGATTTTGAGTTCCAGAAAGAGGTTCCATTTTGTCTTCGTTATTAGCTATAAACTGTGAAGCACCTGTTTTAAGCATGTGGTGGTCTGTCACAGTATCCTTGTCAATCAACGTCATGTTATGATGGAAACCTTTTTCATTCCCTTCAATAGGCTTCTTTGAAGGCCTCAAATTATTCACAGAGAACCCGCCATCCTCGACACTCGCTATTGCTGCACTGGTGATTTCTGGTTCATATGATGCATTACCCATGCCAAGTTCATGGTGAATTTCCATTCCATGCCTTGCTGTCCCAAGCTCAGATGCCTTGTAACTAGAATCATTCCCATAATCTGATGCAAATGATGAACCAGTAACTAAAGAACCATCTGAATAGTTCAAAATTTGATCGGCGGGAACAAAAAAAGTAGCAGGTGAATTTGCATCTGAAGCACTCTGATTTGCCTCATAGAATGCTGAAAATTATCATAATAAATAAGAGAAATCAGTATAGCCAAAAGTTTGTCAACTAGGTCAATGCACAAGAAAACAAAAAACCAAAGAACAATCAAAGGTAAATGTTCAAAACACCTACACGACCTTGCAGCCGCTTCAAGCTCAAGAAAGACCGCAACAGGAAAACTCCTCGACAAATCAATATCAGACAGCAACTTTTCAATCCAATCCCCCAAAGAACACCTACGCTGATATAAAGACAACTAACTTAAGAGTGATATCCAAAAATGAGTTTATGAAACCATAATAGCTTCCAACTGGAAAGATATCTGTTTAAATAAGATATATGTGCATGTAATACCTATCCATTACCAAGATACAAGCCCAAGAATGGTAAATCAAAGATAAGAAAAATTAGAAAGAAACAAAAGTAAAATTTTACTAACTTCCTCTATCAGCTCCTTGCTTTTTGTCCTCAAAAGCCCTTTGGATGGAGCTGGGGGCAACTTTTTCTTGGGAAATGCCCTTTTAAGCTGCAAAAGAAAAGTTTAGCAAAAAATTATTCAGGTTTTAAAACGACTCAAGGTCCCATACTAGAATAGACAAATGATTTTAAAATCTTCCATAGTACAGCATATGACTCCATTTACCAAGCCTTGAAGCAGTAACGAATTTTAGTATTTAACCGTGTTCAGTAATCACTTCTTCAGAGGATACAACATAAACATCTTAAGACCTGATGAAAATATTTGACTCACATCAGAATATAGCTTCAAGAAATCGCTAAATCTTCTTAATATTCCTCGTAAAGTAGTAGATCCTTCTGGTGACTGGATACCAACTTGGACCCTGTAGAACTGTCATTTATGAATGTTAACCCACAATAACAGTAACCAACCATATGTAAAAAGCTTTTCTGCGATCCATGCATATAAAGGCAGACAACTTTTGCATCATATAATTACATAGGTAAATCACATAAAGTTGTCCCATACCCTTCTAAGCATTCATTTGATTAGGGACATCCAAGCAGAAGGGGTTGGGGAAACATAAAATAGGTAAAAAATAAAAAATGCTAAAGTAATGATCTCAAAACAGATGTCAGATAATCATTTAGGGTAGAATCATCAAATTAAAGGTAACTCCCAACTAAAAACCAAATATGGCCTGTGATAGAAGTATAATGAAGAAGATTATATACCACAGTAGGATCTAAACCTCTGCCTTTTGGTATGATAGTCCAAGAAGGAACTGTGACGCAATAGCTCCACCCTGTACGAAAGTCGTGTGGCCAAACAGAGTTCCGTCCTTCCTGTAACAGCACACACATAGGGCTGGCTGTTACTAAAGGCATGTCTTGAATTCTGAAAATAATCTTACACAGAAAATTAAACTGTTGAGCTCAAGATCAGAGCCAGTATAAAAGGGGGAAAAGAAGATCATACAGCAAATCACCCTAAAAGTCATCCTAAAGTAGCCAATTATGGCCTGCACTCGAGCAACTAAACCTCACCAGCAGAAGTTCAAGTATGTCACTATACCAAATGAAATAGTAGGAAAAATTATGATGGTGGCGAATATTCAAATGACCTTTTGCATGAAGGATAGACTCTATAATGGTGTAATTTTACGGTATGCAAAAGTATTATATTAATCTAGGCATTGAAGAGCCTGTTTGAAGCAGCATTTGGAAGCTTAATTAATAAAGGTTCCCTGACTTTTGAAGATCATTTGGCAGCACAAAGGAAAAGTTAGGGCCACAAAACACGAAAAAGGAAAAATTTTCAAGTAAAAACTTACCCACAACTAGCTTTTGAAAATGCTAAAGGATTCTAACTTTGTGATTCTCGATTTACTATCGTCCCACGGTTGAGTTCCAACGACCCAAAAGAACTACAAAATTTCGGCTAGCTCGTGCAAATGTTAAAAGATTCTAACTTTCTTCTTCTAAATTGGTTACCCATTCACGGCTGGGCCCCAATAACCCAACAGCAATAAAAATTTACCGCAGCAACAAAAATCTACCAGCATATAGCTTCCTAAATGAAAAGATTCTAACTTTCTGATTCTCAATTGCCTATCCAGTCAATCTTGAGCTCCAAAAAACCGAAAGACAAAACCAGATAAGAAACGGAAAAGTTAAACCGAGGGAAAAAAATAGAAATCTTGAATAAAATCCAGGAAAAGAAAAGGTCCAATCTTGAATTACATCAGAACACAGTCATAATTCACCAGAGTAATAATAGCTTAGTACCCAAATGCGAGGGGGAGGGCTCCAATCCATGCCTAATGGGAGCGGCGAAGTACCGTCGTGTCGGTGCTGGTTCGGGGGCGGACTACCCCTACTCTTGTTGTTCTCATCGAAACTGTGTCGTCTTGTGGGATGGAGAGCTAGAGATTCGATGAGAGTAGGATCGGTGGCGCCCAAATCGAATAGGTAGAGCGAGTAATCGTGGTGTCCTCCATACATATTCATCGTCCTCGTCCCCCGTCGTCGCCTTGCTCCTTCTGGTGGTGTTGGGTTTTCGACGCCAAGTGTGCCGGTGTCTGTCCGACGTTCAACGTCTTCAAAGCGGGGTTTATACCTGATATTTCCAGGTGTAGTTGGCTACTGTCATCACAAGGACTCGAGTGGGGTGTTGTACCTGGTGCATTAATAGTCGTACCATAATAGCTCTGACTGGGGAAAAGGAGATGACTTGCTCCCAAAATATGGCTAACAACTGTTCATAAATTGGCTGTGTTTGGAAGAACACCGTAGCAGTAATGTATTTAAAATATATATATAATTAAAAAAAGTTTTATGATACAAATAAAATACTAGTAATACCTATAAATAATAAGTTATCCAAAATAATACCCTATGGGCGACATATGCCTCTTGTTCTACTTGGCACTTCGCGCATTAATAACGTTGTCAGAAAATTTTGTAGAAGATGTGACCTTTATCAGGCTAAACGAAAATTACTAGTGCAAACAGTTAAAATGACCTGTTTGTGTAAATCGGTGTGGTTTTGGCTATTAGGTGGTACAACTTAACCGTAATGACGAGAGATGTAAATCAATCAAGTTATTTAACTCAAAATCGAGAGAAGCTCGGTCTAATGCCCTATTCGAACTTGATATTGATTAAATTCAAATCGAATTCTTAATAAAGTATTTTAGTTTAGGAAGAGTAGAGAAAACTAAGACTCGAGTACTTATTGAAGGCTCGAGTACTTATTGAAGCCTATCAAATAATATGAATGATTTAATTATTTATTGCAAAATCACATTCATAGGTAGGAGAGTTATAAAATTTATCAAAAAATAAAGTTTGAGAACTCAAGCTTATCCGAGTTGTGCACAACATGTGTACTCTGTGGTCTTTAGTCGAGCTTGAGTGTCAAGCTTACTACTTGTTCGAGTTTGGGTTCAAGCTCAAATAGCATAAACAATGCTTGAGTTTGAACCTGAATATGGTACCATAAGAATTTAAGTCGACTTGATAACACTCATAGTCATGATGGCAACTCATCCACCTTTAAATGGTATGGAGATAACCATAATAAATCAGCTAAGTCAATGTTTTAGTACGAAAATATGGTTTTAGTTAGGAGGCTAATGGACAATTTCAAAAACCCCCTTTAATGTGTATAACAATATCACTCGGTACTTCTAAACTTCGAGAAATCTCATATAGTTCTCTTATTTTTAACTTTTTATAATATTATCAACCTATTCCAAATAGTAGGAAAGGTTTTTGAAATTATCCCATGTTTTTTTTGTATGAAACTAACATGGAACATGCGATTGAGAAAGAATTGATCTTTGCCACAATATTTGAAGAATCATAACTTGCACCAATATGTTAAAACTCGGACCATAGAGTGAATCGAAAAACTTTTCAATTTGTAGTTTGATCGGTTCAACCGATTCTTGACCAAATATGATCGATTCAATTAATTTTTTAGGTTATTTGTTGAACCAAATTGAAGGTAAGGCCGGTTCGCTGTTCAACTGGTCGAATCGACCGATCCAATCCGATTTTCAAAACACTGCTTGCACCATATAAATAACATTTACATAGAAAGTATGTTTCAATGCTCTATATTCAGTGCAAAAAAAAAGTCCAAATCCCTGCAAACAAACAATATGTAAATGAAATTTTAAAAAATTAAGGAAGGGCTCTTAGATTTTTTCTTGATGTTAAGTTCAGGGTTCAAATCCTGATAGTACTAGAGATAAAGAGAGTGTAGAGAGGGATGAGAAGACTCGAGGGGCAAAAAAAAAAGATTTTCTCCAATACATTTTCATCAAGCCTCGTCTCCCTTTCACCAAAAGCAACCCAACATAAATGTAGTGGTACTCTGGTTTTCTTACGTCCTTTCCACCACAATCACTAATAATTGTACCATGTACAGTGGTGGATACATGACAAGCTGACGAAGATCACAAACTCGTGTGAATTGCGTTACGTAATTAATGACAAGTTCGAAGGCAGGCTAGGCAAAAAAGAAAAAAAGAGAAGAAGATTGACTGATGTAACGAAAGTAATAGCAACGTATTGTATTTGTGCCCACCAGCTCCGACTACCACATGGATGGGAACTAGCTTATAGATGAGACAATGCATTCAAGAGCAACATTACATGCATACTATAGTAGAGAAACCAATTAGTCTAACTGCTGAAATTAAAGTATTCATCTGCAGCTTCTTAAGTTTAGAATGCTCTATTCACCTTGCCCAGCCGGACCCTCAATCTCAAACCCATATATATATATGCGCACGTATGGCATGTCAATCATTTAGTCTGGGCAGTTGTCCTTACTTGCGTTATTTTCTCATAAAAATTGCGTGTTCGAGTTTTGCTGTTAGTATAAGAATTGTGTTAATTGACGAACTGTTAAAATCTTATAAGCGACTAATAATTTGTATGTCTTGATGTTTAATGGGAGTCAAAATCGAACTCATTTAAACTTATTATTTCCAAAAAAAAAAAAAGCATAGATGTTAGATTACCCTTACCCCTACACTCAAAATTAACAATAATCCTTACACTTTTTGGCAACGCTCAATTTCTCCACACACAACTTTCTTTTGCCTCTTAAGTTTTTTCCGCAACCAAAAAAAAAAAAAAATAAAGTAGAAAATATATAGATCTAGACAGAGAAAAGGAGCGAGCCCATGTAACCGGGGGAATACCGGGGAGGAATTATTCTGGCTGTGGAGGCACCGAATCCTACTAAGTTGTTATATACGTGCATTTAACTTTTTGCTGTGGAAGTGAACCCTACATTACAGGCCACTCTTCTCTCCACTCTGCCATCATTCTTTAAAGCTGTAATGCAGATTGCGTATTCCTACAGGCTAGAGGTGGTCCTGATGATCATATGTATCACGTCCGTTTCTCTCCACACCACCTTCATCTCCATGCTCCAATATAATTGAGTCATGTTGTTCTACAGCATTGAAGACCGGAGGGCTAGCTGCTGCAAGTCCAGCCATGCTTTTCCACAGCTTTCTTGAACTTCTATTAGCTGCTATCCTAACTCTTTGAGCTAATCAAGAAGCTCAAGAAAGCTACGGGAAAACAAGGCACATTAGGACTTCATGATTTTATCTTAGCGGCGATCCAACTTCCTATATATATCTTCTTCTCCAACTTGCTGGAGTTTAGCAGTATACGGTTTTATGTTGAACAGCTAACCCTGGTAATTTTACTATCCTTGTGTGGTGTTTTAAAGAATCTTAATATGTAAACCAAAATTTTCGATAAATCGTTATTTCATTTTTTGTTTAATCATCTTCCCTTTCAACTAAGTTTTATGCTGCATTGTAGCGTCAATGTTATTATGAACAAAATTTGGACTTGTCCATTCCAGAGTCTTGTGGGTCTTAATTTGTCGTGATCATTGATCTTGACTCTTGCCTCTACATCTTGTTTGTCCATCATCTAGAACTAAATTGTTGCAGTACTATTTCAGCTGTTTTTGGCCTTATTTTTGTCGTTCATGCACTTCAAGTGAGACCCTTTGTGAACTTAAACAAGCTAAAGCAAGGCAGAAATTAAAAAGTGAAAACAGTTGGAGATCTTCTTGAACGGTCCCCGGCCGGTAATGTCCTCTTTGAATTTTCTGGTGCCTATTCATTTTTATTTTTGCGGTAGAACTTTCCTGGTTTTCGTTCATTGTTGCTAAAAAATTGCTTGTTCAGATGAGTATCTTTCATATACCAACATCATCTCTATCTTCGAGCGACTAACTGCACATTCATTACATAATTCTTAGAAAAAAATGGTTTGAAGTGAATTAATGCCATTGTTTTCACCTTATGCATTTCACTCGAGAAACCCAAAAAAAAAAGGTGAAAAATGATTTCACTTCTTTAAGTTTGCCCTAGATCTCTACAAATAGGTCTGCATATAGGATTTGTCATTTCTCAACCATCAGTTTACTCCGGAAAATCTTGTACTAAAAAATATTGGTTTAAAGTGCTTCTAGTTTCCTCCCTACACAGACTACCGATTACTAGCTAAAAAGAGAAAAAAAACAAAATTAAGGATAATGGTCTCCTTAATTAGCTTTAATAATTGCGCCGGAGGCTGAGCATAATGAAACAACCTCCTAAAAAAGAAATGGGGAAAAAAATAAGCAATGAAGGAGCAACTTAGAAAAGCACACCTAACTGTCGCGATTCAGGAAGGGAAGGAAATGTCCTGATGACTTAGCTTGATGAGTTAACTTAAGGAACTAATTAGGTTAATTACCTAAGCGGCCAACCAGGGATTTATTTACCAGTCATGGTATGTATGTAGGACATGGAAAAGAGTTCGGAGTAAATCATGCAGGATTATCTAGGGGTGGCAATTCGGGTCCAAATCAGGTTGGCGGGTCGGGTTCGGGTCAATCCGTCAGAAAATCTGTTGACCCGAACCCGACCCGCCAACCCGTGACGGGTCAGGTATGCTGACCCGAACCCGAAAATTTCAGGTTGACGGGTTGGCGGGTCGACCCGAAATGACCCGAAACTTAATTTTAATTTATCACTGTAATTTCTAATAAAATCAATTTCTCACAAAACTAATTACATAATCAAGTAATAAAAATTTAAATAAATAATTCCAAACCAAATCTAAAATAAATTAAACACCGTAAAAGTGTTTTATCCCAAACAAAATATAAAATAAATTAAAACAGTATAAAAGTAAAAAATAATATAATATATTATTTGTCTAAATATAATAATTTCAACTTCACACAAATTAAATAAATTCATTTAGGATTAAGTAATTAATGCCTTTGAAAAAAAGAATAACTTAGTTTAGTTAGATAAAATTGTTTTTATGTTTATTAAATTATTTTTAATTCGTAAACGGGTCATATCGGGTCATATCAGGTCGCCACGGGTTGACCCGAAATCGACCTGTTTTCTTTTCGGGTTCATCGGGTCCAACCCGATTCTGACCCGAATTCCCGAAACCTCAACCCAAACCCATTAATTTCGTGTTAGGTTCGTGTCGTGTTTTCAGGTCGTGTCGAAAATTGCCACCCCTAGGATTATCTAAATTTTAAGTAATATATTTAAATCTGGAGCTTCAAAGGTAGTAAATTAGTGACGAAGTTAAGAGATTAGTTACTAAATACACCATGGACTCAGAGGCGGAGTCAGGATCCTAACGTAAATCAGGGGGTTGCAATGTGCAACTATTGTGTTTGATGTGATAAAATTGTTTGATGGACATATTTTTACATGTACTGTTAAAGCTAAC